CCAATTTTTTTTTTTTTTTTTTTTTTTTGCTATAGAGCACATTTCTCACTGGAAAGAGACACACAGAGAATGAGTGAGAAAGCATCTCTGCTAGGGGTGCCATAATCCCTTTTCCTCCATTTTCCTCTAGAGATTTTAGGCATACACACACGTGTGCCTGGTGTGTTTTTCAAGTCATTGAGTCTGGAACATATACTGCAGAGTTGGCCACATAGGATCCAGCTGCCTTAACCACATGACTGGCTGGCCCATATGTGTAAATTTTACTAGACCATCATAATGTCCTTATACTTCACAGCTGTGAGAATGATTATTTCATGACGTCAGCATTATTAAACATTATCAATTTTTATTTTTAAACATTATCGATCTTAACTGACAACCCTCAGAATGGAAGAATATTTTTGTAAAATATGCCTCAGACAAGGGACTGATAACTAGAATACACAGGGAATTCAATTGACTTCCTTGAAAAAACATGATTAACCCAATTAAAAGATGGGAAAATAAGCTGAACAAAAATCTCTAAGGAAGACATATGAATAGCCAAAAAAGCATATGAGGAAATGCTCAAAATCCTTCATCATAAGGGAGATGCAGATAAAACCACAATGAGATATCACCTAATCTCTCTCAGAGTGGTGAAGATTAAAAATATAAAAAATGATAATTGTTGACGTGGATGTGGTGATAGCGGAACTCTCCTACACTGTTGGTGGGAACATAAACTGGTTCAGCCACTGTGGAGAACAATATGGAAGTTCCTCAAAGATCTACAAATAGAACTACTATTTGATCCAGCAGTCCCACTTCTGGGTATCTATCCAAAGGACAGGAGAATGCTTAGTCAGAAAAGCACTTGCACAACAACGTTTACTGCAGCCTTATTCACAATCACTAAGACATGGAACCAACTCAAATGTCCAGAAACAGATGAATGGATTGAAAAAGTGTGGCACATATACTCTATGGAATACTACTCAGCCATAAAAAACAAGACCCTGGCATTTGATAGAAAGTAGTCAGATATGAAGGATCTATGACTGAATGAAGCAAGCCAGGATATGAAAGAAAAATACTGTATGTGTCCACTTACTATATACTAACTGTCCACACCTTATGGTAGTGATCGAAATATTGAAGGGCATAAAAGCAGTGAAAATAGTTAGGGATGCTGAAGACAGTGTGGAATGGGGCGGGAGAAGGGAAGAGTATAGAGGACAGAGTATAGCAAAGAACAAATAGGCATGACATTAGTGGGACACAGAAATGACTTATTACCTGTTGATGATAACATGTATAGTATTCTCAACTGGACTGGTCTGAGAAGTATTTCATGTTAGGTAAATTTTTTTTTCAGAGAGATTTTTGCTATAGAGTTCCTGTACTTGCCAGAACGACAGAAAAAGAGAGAGACAGAAAGCGAGAAATCACCACCCCACCCGTCACCCTCCACCCCCAACCCCCCACCCCTTGCAGGGAGGTGGCCATGCAGC